GGGATCGATCCCGAGGCTGTGCATCCCTCACCGGGGCTGGGATCAATCCCGAGGCTGTGCATCCCTCACTGGGCTGGGATCGATCCCGAGGCTGTGCATCCCTCACCGGGGCTGGGATCAATCCCGAGGCTGTGCATCCCTCACTGGGCTGGGATCAATCCCGAGGCTGTGCATCCCTCACCGGGGCTGGGATCAATCCCGAGGCTGTGCATCCCTCACTGGGCTGGGATTGATCCCAAGGCTGTGCATCCCTCACCAGGGCTGGGATCGATCCCTAGGTCTTGCATCCCTCACCAGGGCTGGGAGAGCTGCCCAGTCAGCTCGGGGTGGGGCTCAGAGGCCTCTGCCCTTCTGGGCATCTCAGCCCCCAGGCCTGGGGCTGTGTTGGTGGAGCTCCAGGATCGCTCCCAAAGGGCTCGTCGGAGGGATATTCGGAACCCAGGATGGAGCAGGGAGCTGGGATGGAACAGTGGGGACACGCCAGTGCCCCCAGGGTGAGGGCCCAGCCCTCCCCCAGTGCCTGTCCCCCCTGCCCCATGGGAGCTCTGGAGGTCACGGCTCCCCCCTCGCCGTGGGGACACGGGACACGGTGCCCCAGCAGCCCCCCAGGGAGCCCTGGGGGTGGGCGAGGGCCAGGCCCTGCCCTTCCCTCCCCGGGGAGGGCTCCCACAGCTCAAACACCCTCCTGAGATCCCCCACCCGGAGGGGTCTCACAGAGTCTCTGGCACGGCGGGAGCTCTCCCCGCGTGCCTCGGGATCCTCCGCGTATTCCCTTTGGATTGGTGATCCCCGCGGCCGGAGCCTTTCCTGCCGCGTGCCTTCGGGAAGGGCTCTTTCCCGTCGTACCCAGGCGGGGAAGAGCCGCCTTTCCCAGCTCCCAGTGTGCGAGACCCCTCACCGAGGAACCGAGGAACGGCCCGGAGGCGTTTGGAGGTTGTTGCTGTTCAAATCCATCCAAATAAAAACCACCTTTTGCGTCCGGGCTGTGGAGCTCTGGGGTCGGGGGGGGTCAGACCACCCGGCGCTCCCGCTCTTCCCGAGGAGCCCTTCCCTCCTTTCCCACTCTTCCCGAGGAATCTTTTCCTCCTTCCCGGCACTCCCGCTATTCCCGAGGAGCTCTTCTCTCATTCCCGGCGCTCCCTCTCTTCCCAAGGAGCCTTTTCCTCCTTTCCCGCTCTTCCCGAGGAGCCCTTCACTCCTTCCCAGTGCTCCCGCTCTTCCCGAGGAGCCCTTTCCTCCTTCCCAGCGCTCCCACTCTTCCCAAGGAGCCCTTCCCTCCTTTCCCGCTCTTCCCGAGGAGCCCTTCACTCCTTCCCAGTGCTCCCGCTCTTCCCGAGGAGCCCTTTCCTCCTTCCCAGCGCTCCCGCTCTTCCCAAGGAGCCCTTCCCTCCTTTCCCGCTCTTCCCGAGGAGCCCTTCACTCCTTCCCAGTGCTCCCGCTCTTCCCGAGGAGCCCTTTCCTCCTTCCCAGCGCTCCCGCTCTTCCCAAGGAGCCCTTCCCTCCTTTCCCGCTCTTCCC